TTGTCTGAATAAATGGGGACTACACAGAGTGGTTTAAAATTAATCGAGTTGTTAGGCAAGGCTGTGTAGCATCTCTTTGGCTGTTCAACCTATTTATGGACAGCTGTTTGAACGACCTGAAAGTAGGAGAGTCTGGATTAAGGATGAATGACACAGTGATTAAAACATTGTTGTATGCCGACGACCAGTGCTTGTTGCCTCGTCGGCCCAAGAATTACAACAAATGATCACTGCTATGAATGATGCATTTGAAAGGAAAGGTATGAAAGTAAATGTGAACAAGACGAAAGTGTTGGTGATAGAAAGAAATGAGGTGATAACAGAATGTCAGGTAATGATAGGTGATGAAAAAACCCACCGTGGGAGACAGGCGTGAAGTTATGTAAGTATGTATGTACAATTTGAAAAGGGTCTGGAGTCGACCTGATGATGGAGCCGACAGACAGTCAAAGGAACTCCTCAACGGTTTATATTAACTACCTTGTGTTTGGGCTTGATTGATTTGTATTGATGAGAACTTTACACCTAGATGGAGTAGGACTAATCATTGACGGTCTGATGATGAAGAACTGTAATTGTTAAGGGAACTCATCAACGGTTTATAGTAACTACCTTGTGTTTGGGCTTGTATAATTTGTATTATATAATAATTGTAGTTAAAATTCCAAGGTAGGTACCTAATCCTATTCATCTTATGAACATAATATTATATATACCTAGTAAATAATCAAAGTTTAGGTAAGTACCTACCCTAACGAACGATACCCAATGACTGGTTTTATGTAGGTATGTAATATAAGTAAACAAACATTACGATGTTCTTAGGTACACACCTACCTAGGATATCCGAAAGTTTAGATAGGTACGTACCGAATAATAAGATAAATGTTATAGTTAGGTATCTTATAGCTACAAGATAGATAATTATGTACATACCTACCAATTACATTTAGGGTATAGGTTGTATAAGTAGTACCTATATTGCATCTATACTCACTGACCGGTCAAAGTTTACAATGAATGGGTACAATACTTATTTTATTATAGCTAAGCATCCAGTTACTAAATATGTAGAAACATTACTTTCCTTGGAAAATGAAAAAAACGCATGTACTCATTAGTACTTATATCTCAATCCATATACTGCATTTTTACGTTTCCGCCTCATAGTTAATAGTTACACGACTATTATATAGTTATTAGATAGGTACGGTACACACAAATCATACAACGGTAGCGTAGTTTAGTTGCAGCAGTGACACGAATAAACAGGTACACAGGCGCGCGTTTTTCGCTTGCCGCTGCTCCACGCCTCGGAGTGGGGCCCCTCGCACCACACCCCGCACACTCCTAGCTTTACGTCTCGCAACGGTCAAATCTAAGTTTTTCGGTACCGTTATCGCATAAAGGTTAAATACCGGTATAGCTTTAATTTCGGTACACTTATTTTATACCGGTACCGTACCGTTATACCTTAACCGCTTTCAGTCCCTGGTTAAACTAGATAATAATGACATTGATTACTTTTTAACCGACTTCAAAATAGCTTTGAGCTGTATGTCTATGTTTGTATGCGTTTATCTCGCAATTGGCTGAACCGATTTTGGTGCGGTTTTCAGAAAAGTGTTTGTTACACTTGGGAGAAGGTTTCGACTTCAGAAAAAGAGGGAAGAATGAAGTCGGTTTTTTTTAAACATATTTTATAAAAGAATTTTAGCCATTTGACTACGAGGGTAAAGCCATGGGAGTTTTTGATTCATATATTATAAAAATGATTTTTCTTTGAACTGTCAAACTCGCGAGGACACCGGTGACCGCAGCCTATTGTTCTTTAATTGTGTCTATAATGACGGTACTCAACGAGTTAAAAGGAATAGGATGCCGTAAACCCACGTCCTAAATAACAACGCAAATACAAAATATGAACGAATCTAATTAAAACCAAGGCCTTCATGATTTTATCAAAATACATTTTCTTCGTAAATAGCACAGCGCTCATTTTCGAGTTAGCTACGATAAAATAAACACGCGACTGTGACTCCTGGCTAGGTTGCCCTTGAAGTAGTTTAACAAACACGCTGAAACAATAGCTAGCCATTTCTAAACAGTAATTCCGATATTTGTAACTGTTTCTACCAAGTTATTTGGGTCACACTCTTATGGCTTCATATAAATACCTTATCGAGACTCTGACTGGAAGCAGGGGTAGGAACGGGGTAGTTTTGACTCAGTTAACTTCACATAGTGCAAGAGAAGCCGTTGGAAGGTTTTCTCAAAAAAAAAAAGAATGAACTTGAATGAACAGTTCTCCCGCTTTATTTATTTTGTTTGGGCAGCTCTCGAGATACCCGAAAGATGCGCGCGTGCATTTAAAATTATTATTTATACGAACCTTGTATGCGTTGAACACAAAACCGTGCCGTGACTGCACGGGCGTAGCTCGCGGGCAGCCCGCAAACGGCTTGCAAGCGGCACATTCGCGGCGCATTCGCCTCGCAAGCGGCACATTCGCGGCGCATTCGCCAAATGTGGACGCAACCTAAGGATGCGTTCACATCTGGCGAATGTGCCGCTCGCGAACTGCGCGCGTGCAATCACGGCAATGGTTTGGTGCTCAACTCATACAAGGTGCATTAAAAATTATTATTTATACGAAGCTGTGCATTCGCGGACCATTCGTTAAATGTGGACGCACCCTTATAGGTTAGTGAAAATCAGCTAGGCTGCTGAAAATCAGCGCCGCGACTCCATCACTCTCTGGGGGATTACTCTTGAATCCAATTCCGATCGATCGAAATTGACTTTGAAAAATTTCGTACTCTTGAGTTGCAACACAAGCGCTCATTGCATCCGTATTGCGTGGATATTTAATGAACTAAATGATATTGAGTTTGGCTTTATATTCCGTACTCTGAATGCTGTTTTAACAGCTACGATAGGGGTTGTATAGTTTTGACATTGAATCATTATTGGGATTATATTGGATTGAAATTGCATTGACATTGAGATTCGTTTCAAGTGTAAGCAGCCTGGTCAAGGCATTTTAGCTGAGCACTTGGCCTGTTTGCGTCTTGCACACTTTTACCATTTATTGTTTTAACTATTCTTCTTGGTAAAATTTTTACGGTGCAAAAATCTCTCTTTCTTTCTTTCACCCTAACAGTTACATTTATGAGGACAATTAACCAACCTTTTTTAATATTACTATATTCTAATGACTGCCTCATTAGCCGAGTGGTCGCAAGTGCGACTGCCGGGCAAGGGGTCTCGGGTTCGATTCCTGGGTCTAGCAAAGTATTACTAGGTTAGTAAAAACCTCAGTAGTAGCACGGAGTCTGGAAACGTGCCCGGCAATAGGCTCACCCCCTATTACATGGGACCTATAACATAAATAGTGAAAAGTGGGTGTTACATTGTAAGTACAGTGGCATTAAGTGCCATAATTTGCAGCTCTGCCTACCGCTTCGGGGATAAAAGGCGTGAGTTATGTTGCTTTTATATTAAAGAGAGATGAAGCATTTCTTCATGTCATAAAGTCTCCATTTTAGTTGCTGTTTGTCTGTATATCTGTTATCTATTTGATAAGATATGAAGACAATCGTGAAGGCAAGTACTGCGTTCTATACACCGCTGAGATATAAATGAGAATTTCAAATTACATTTTAGCTGATGCCCCTGGTAACTCACCTTAGCCAAACGCCACTTTAGCGCTTGTCTACAGAGAGAGTAGAAATCAAAATGTATGGGGATGACATTGACAAGTGTCAAAATTTACGTCAATCCTTACTAATATTGTAAATTGGAATTTTGTTTGTTTGTTCCGCTTTCACGCCGTAACTACTAAACCGATTGCTTTGAATTTTTGCTGACATAAAGTTAGAAGTCCGGATTAAATAATAGAGACTACTTTTTATCCCGGAAAAAATTGATATTCCCGAGGGAAAATAAAAGTATTGGTATAAATGGCGATGTGTGTATTGGTAATATAAGTCACATAACCTACATGTTATCCTTTTGTGACGCGAGCGAAGCCGCGGGTAAAAGCTAGTTCCATATAATTTCGTTTTCTATTCTACATGTAGACAAGCGCTAAGTGACATTTGGTTACAGCTGCAGTCCTGGCAGCTCCGGGACGCTAGTTCATTCCGTAATGGTCTTTTGAAGAATGAACTACAAGTTTCAGTCGAGCTGTTTTCCTTTGCAAAAACAAGCGTGTTTATGATATTATGCAACCATACACACAAACAGATAAAGACAATTTGCTTTTATAATATGTACTGTTGTATAATTTACTCAGGCAAGTAGAGGTATTAGTTATTATAATTCCGTACAATAAAGATATCGTGTCATCTCATGGCAAACTGATGTATGAAGACCAATCTTCAATTAACGTTCGAAGTGAACTGACGAGTGTACCAAAATGCCTTATTATATATACTTTGAGAAAAAGTCAGGAGATTTGACACAACTCAGTGACTATTTACAAAGTGATGTTTTGTGTTTAAGCAAAAATCTTGGACGGTATAAACAAGTTTTCGTTATAATTATACATTGTCAAAATGTATTCTTCCGCCTTGCATGGGCGAAGCGAGGAGTGTGAGACTAACCGGCTTTATACCCTGTTCCTACTTGGAACCTTATTTTTTTTATGGGACAAGCCCGCTACAACCTCCCAAAACCGCTGCAACTCCTGTAAGCCAGGATCTACAGTAGATACAACCATGAAAACACCGGAACATTGAAGTCCGGCGCGTCCCAGGGACATGAGTAACTGTCTTAGTTCCCGCAACGAAGTGAATCAGAAGATATTATAAGAGGAGAAGAAAAAAAAACTATTCGGGGCCTCTGTACATACTTATATGAGAAGTATTCACGATCCCGAATTATGCCCGATCTTAAGTAAAGGACCTCATAGCCTACCAGTGAACTTTCCCGGAATATGATAAAATATAATCTATGTAACCTTAACAATGTGTAATGTGTATATTTGTTTGTTGCAGTGGCGACAGCGCGTCTTTGAGCGCGGCCGGCAGCAAGCGCTCGGCTTTGTCGGCTTCCGACGCCGAGTGTTTCTCGCTGTGCCTGGGTGCCGGGCCTCTGTGGTAAGTCGAACAAACCTTCTTTATAGGATAGGGCAGCAAACAAGTAGAAGGATCACGCTAAGCAATTGGCACCGCCCATAGACAAACGCAACATGAGAGGAGTGATCTGTGCGTTTCCAGCTTTTTATAGGTTAGGGATTTGAGCATTGAGGATTTGGGGTTTTTTAAGGGGGAAAATCATCGAATGACTTTGCTCGCCTAGGTGAGGCGGGAGGGAGTGTCAGACTGTTACTGACTAAAAACCACCCCGTTCCTACTACTGCATTTCGAGCCGGAGCCCCGGTAACCCGTTAAGTTCTCCGCTGCTCCGTATCGACGTCAGCCCAATTGGGTCCCATCTGTGGTGGTCTGATAACCCAATGAGGTGTGCGCGGAACGCGACGCGCCGCGCGCTCGGGTCTGGTTCTGGTCGGACGGCGTACGGCGTGCTACCCATGCTCGCCGTCAGACCAGAACCAGTTAGCATGACTGCTTCGGATTTGGGGGTTAGGAGAACATCAAAGGAGTTGCAATACAAGTGCGTCGCCGCCTTTTTGGGGTTAGGGATTTCAAATTGGGTCGGGGATGGGAATTGGGCCTCCGGTAACCATATTCACACGGCGAAACACGAAGCAAGCATTGTTTCACGCTACTTTTCCGTGAGGCCGTGGTCTCTGGTCGAACCGGCCCAAGCATGCCGAGACATCACTCTCTTATACTACCCTTCTGGTGCAGCCGATGTCTGTGGGAGACGTTGATTGCTTAACTAAAGATAATACGATTACCATAGAAAATATGTATCGTTCCAAAAGTCGAAGTGCAATATTAATCGCCGCGTGGTATAGTAACTTAAACAAGATGATGTGAAACATGCCTCAAATGTAATATTATTTATTATAAATACATAATTATAGTTAACTGGCGACCCGCCCCGGCTTCGCAAGAGTGGAATATGTATGTATTATACATATAAACGTTCCTTAAGAATCACTCTATATATTAAAAAAAACCGCATCAAAATCCGTTGCGTAGTTTTAAAGATCTACGCATACATAGGAACAGACAGACGGCGGATAGCGACTTTGTTTTATACATGTAGTGATGTGGTGATTACGTGTTAAGGTCAGAAAGTTGCATGAACTTTTATCTTATAGAGTCTAAAGTGCATAATATGCATGATCAGAGCATGTACTTGATTACATAAATGGAGACAGTTTGATAATCTTCTCCTGATTTAAGAGATAGTGGGACGACTCGATACGATGACGTAGTTGTTAAGGTTTCGTACACACACACACACACAAAAACATACATACATAACAATTTACACAAGTATTGTTGGCTGGCACTAATTGTTATGCGAAAATAATAAAAATACATGTATTATTTGCAGGTGGTCCTGATGTTCCGGCTCACGGCTCGGCACCGCCCGGAGGGGTGAATGGCGGGGCCGCGAGCCCCGCTACCCCATCTACACCCACCCACGACGACAACAACCGTGAGTATATCTTGTAGTCAACCACAACTCTACCCGCTAATATTGATTTGAAATGTCGCGTGACGTCACTTCTATGTACATTTTATACATACGTAGAAATGACGTTTTAGCCCCCACTCCTAAACTTTGATTCGTTTTATCTAAGTATTGTTTTATTATGCGACAAAATAAAAATATACGTGTCTAATATTTTTTCATTACCTAAGTGACGGACTAATTACATTTTTAATTTCGATGTGTATGTGTAATTTTATGTTATGTTTTCATAATAACTATAGTGAGACATACTGAATTAACTAAAAATCGCGTCGGCGTCGGCGCTTGCCTTGGTGTTGTTTGCGTTACGAGCTCATTAACACCAACGCAAGCGTGAGTAACCCGCGATTTTTAGATAAATTGTATGTTTGTAAACCACGACAAAGGAGAAAATCTTTAATTTGGGGCAACGCCTTTTTAAGAAAAAGAAATACCGTTTCTTAGAATTTATTTCCAAATACCTTTTACATTTTAATGAAAAGAAAATAAAGCTAAATAACTTAACTGTAAAGTCTTAAATCCCTAATCAATTATTTGCAGGTAAGTTCTTGATTACTCTTCTATAATCAAAACTTAACTGATGACAACTGTACACCTCTCAATGAAAAATAGACCTAGATAGCTTACCGTTAAGTTTAAATTCCATAAATTAATTATTTGCAGGTGACTTGTTGAGCGCCCTACTATGGGCAAGCGCGAGTTCCCTCGCGTCCAGCGCGGAGTCTCTCGTCACCGAGTCCCAGTCTCCCACGCATGCGCACCCAGCACTCCACCAGCAACGCAGAGAAGCGGTCAGTAAATTATTAATACCTAAATTATAAATAAACTACACAAACTTACGCACGCTCACTTACTCATTCAATCATTAACTCACTCACTCACTTACTCATTCAATCACTAACTCACTCACTCACTCACTCATTTACTTACTCATAACACACCCAGCACAGTACACCACTAGCAACGCAGAGAAGCGTTAAGTATACTAGATAAATAACAATAAATAAGACTAACACAATTATATACTTATTTACTCACTAACTCATTATATACTTATTCACTCACTGACTTACTGAAATTTTTTAATCACTCACTTATGCCCATACACCCCACAAGCAACACAGAGAAGCGGTGAATAAATAAAATAATTAAATAATACTCACTCACTCATTTACCCACTGACTCATCTACGCGTGGTCACATAAAATCTCTTATGCAGAGTGTAAACGGAACGCCAAAAGGTGATGGTAAAGAACAGGTTTAATTTTCGTAAAAGCAATTATTTCGACTGTTCAATACAATTAAATATTAAAAAATAATCACACTTTCATTGTTTTTATAACAAGCGATATATTTATCGCGAGACATAATAAATAAACTAAAAATCGCGGGTTACTCTCGTGAATATACTGAGAAAAGCCAGTAGGCCGCGCGACATCGCCGCGACCGCGCACTCTGCTGCTCATGAGGAAGAACCCCTCTGTGTTTCAAAACTAGTAGAGCTTTTCTCAGTATATTCACGTGAGTAACCCGCGATTTTTAATAAGTCATACTTTCATTAATTGATTTAATGACCAACTTAATTTTAGTATTTTTCCAGCAATTTTTTAAGAAATAAGCTCGCTGTTGACTCTAAAAAACGTGACGTTTTTACAATTTCGTACAAAATATAATAGAACTGTAGTTTTTAACATAACATAACATCACGCCTTTTATACCCGAAGGGGTAAGCAGAGGTGCACACAGAAGTAACCCCCACTTTTCACTATTTATGTTATGAGTCTCATGTAGGTAATGGGGGTGAGCCTACACAATTCCAGACTCCGTGCTATTACTGAGAATTTTTAAAATAACATAACATAACATCACGCTTTTTATCCCCGAAGGGGTAGGCAGAGGTGCACATAGAAGTAACTCCCACTTTTCACTATTTATGTTATGAGTCCCATGTAATAGGGGGTGAGCCTATTGCCATATACCGGGCACATGTCCAGACTCCGTGCTACTACTGAGAATTTTTAAAATATCCCAGTAATAATTTGCTCGACACGGAAATCGAATTCGAGACCCTCGCACTTGCGACCACTCGGTAAACTAGGCAGTGTATTTACACTATTACACTCATACTCTTATAAACTTATGAATTTATTAGCAACTAGGCTTCGCACTGGTGCAATATGCATATATTATACATATAAACCTTCCTTAAACTGTCAAACACCATAAGGACACCGGTGACCGCAACCTATTGTTCTTTAATGAATCAGAGTTCAGAATCACTCTTTGTATTTAAAAAAAACCGCATCAAAATCCGTTGCGTAGTTTTAAAGATCTAAGCATACATAGGGACAGACAGACGGCGGGTAGCGAATTTGTTTTCTTTTGTTACTCCGCCATTTGTAAACCGATTTCCAAAATTCTTGTTTTGTTTGAAAGGGTATACTCCCGAGATGGTCCCATTTCCATGAGGTCAGAATCTAATGATGGGATCCTAGGGAAACCGTGGGGAACTTTCGAATTTTCTAGGAGCGAGTAATGCGTCTATTATGTTTTTCAATTAAGATTTCTATTATACTATGTAGTGATTTAATTCTTAAATTTCAGGTTATAAGCAAGATTCTGGAACGCAAGGACAGGCAGCCGGTAAAAATCGACTTTAAGATCTTCCTTACTGAGAACACGGTGACCCGCTGGGAAGCTGTAAGTTGCATTAGCTTATATTGACCTCGGTTCCAACTTTTTATGGCATAAGCCGGTAAACGAGCAGACGTATCACCTGATGATAAGCAATCGGCGTCGCCCATGGACACCTGGAATACCAGAGGCGTCACAAGTGCGTGCGTTACCGGCCTTTTGGAGATTAGGAGTTTGAAGATTCAGGGATTGGGAAAGGGAAGGGGGAGGGGGGTAATTGGGCCTCCGGTTACCTCGCTCACACGACGAAACACAATGCAAACATTGCTTCACGTCGGTTTTCTGCTCGGCCGTGGTATTACTCCGGTCGAGTCGGCTCATTCGTGCCGAAGCATGCCTCCCATACTTTCCCGATGCTAATTTTTACGTGATAAGGCAAGCGAGCAGAGACTTGTCCAGAGGCCTTCGATGAGTTTCTAATACAAACTCATACTACGTGTATGCGTTCGGCACTCAGAGTGTCAACCACGCATAACTACCGCATTCGTAACATAATACCAGCGCCAATCATCATCATCAGCCCCTATTCGTCCACTGCTGGACATAGGCCTCTCCACTGACACGCCACTGAGAACTTAACGGGTTGCCGGGGCTGGAGAAGGAACGGGGTGGTTTATACTCAGTAAGAGTCTGACACTCCCTCCCGCCTCACCCAGGCGGGAGAAGTCATTCGATGATTTTCCCCCGTTAAAAAAATAAACACCTAGCTGGAGGGCGCCCTACACTACGTTTGCCTAGTTACTATTACGTCACGAATGCGATAGTTATTCGTGCTTGGCACTCTGATTGGCCGGCCCCAATGAACCAACCAATCAGCGACGACGCGCTCGATACTATTACGTTACGAATGCGATAGTTATTCGTACTATAATATATAATTTATATTGCAGGTGGTCCAAGGTGGCACTATCTACCTGCGTATGCCGGGAGTCCTTCAGTCCGGCAGTAAGGAGAGCTTCATGCTACTTCTGGACTTCGCCGAGGAAAGGCTGGGGTGTAACAAGTATGTATAACTCGATTCTTGTATATTCTCTTATCTGATGGAGACGGTATCACCTGATGGTAAGCAATCGATGGGCACAAGAAGACTGTCGTTCTAAAATCACGCCTTTTATCGACTGAAGTGCACATTATGACACATAGGTATTAATGCCGCTGTACAATGTAACACACACTTCACTATTTATGAGTCCCATGTAATGGACTACCTCGTTGGCCGAGCGGTCGCATGTGCGATTACTAGGCAAGTTTTTTAAAAAAATTCTCAATAGTATCAGGAGTCTGGAATTGTGCCCGGTATATGGCAATAGGCTCACCCTCTATTACATGGGACTCATAACATAAATAGTGAAAAGTGGGTGTTACATTGTACAGTGGCATTAATTGCCGTAATGTGCAGCATCTTAATGATAACCAGATCAGGTTTTTTGCTACACGTCCACGTAGTTTTAATTAGAATTTTGGTGTCACTCTCATATTAAAAATACACCCCAAATTCGTACCAAAAGTGAGTCACCTGTCACTCATGACCTTATTCCAAACGTTCATCGTCAGTCGTATGTGACTCCTTGGAGAGTTAAACTGTCAAACACCAAGCGGTCACCGGTGACCGCAACCTATTGTTCTATAATTGTGTCTATAATGACGGTACTCGACGAGTTAAGTTGTGGTTCAGTATAAAGCAAAACACTCCAGTATCTCCGTCCGATATTATAATATTTCACCTTTACTATTCCAGCTGCATCATCTGCGTCCTGAAGAGCCGACCGGACCGCGCCACCATTCTTCGCACTTTCATGTTCATGGGATTCCAGTTACTACCACCAAACTCCCCTCTTATGCCGCAAGAAATCACCAACCCGGAGTACATATTCCTGCACTACAATATGCAGTAATGCTCAAAACTTCCGAGTCGCAATAAGTCGGAAAAACTAACTTTTTTTTAGACGAACTCGAAATTTCCGAGTTTGAACTCGGATATTTCAGTTTTAAGTTCTAATTTATTTCATCCAGATGTCTCCTAGCCGGCGTCTCTTTCCGCCTTTTGTGGACTCAAAATTTTCGAGTTTTAGTGTACCTACGTAGCTTCGTTATCTAGAAACAGTATTTTGAAGTCGCACGTTTTCTATCATGTTTATGAATAATCACCTGGGCTTGCTTATATTATGGCAACAACAAGTCTGTAGTATTAGATACTTAGGGTATTGTTATATGACGAGTTAATACGAATTTCTTTTCTTTTCATACATTTTAATACTCGGAAATTCCGAGTTGCAACTCATTTGAGTGTAATTGAATAGTTCGCTCTAAACTAGAATTCTATTCTGCCTTTCTATTTTGCTGAAATAAAATCTAGCTTTCATAAAAATCTAATAAGTAAAAGGAATTCGAATTAATAAGATTTCTATGATTTCAGCTTATCAAATTTACGCTAACTTTGTTTATTTTCCATAAAAACTGACTATTGTAGAAGTTTCCTTATTATTATTGTAACTATTAAGTCGTTTCTTTAACAATTATTATTATTATACCTATATATTATTAATATGATTACTCTAAAACTTAATATTATGTATTGTCGTCGTGTATTGTCACCCGCTCCGGGGTAGAGCAAAAAAAAATTAACAAAAAAATACAAAAAAAAAACTAAAAAAAAATACAATTTAATTAATAAAATGAAGGATTTTTTAAAAATATTTCGGATTTATTACAACTTTAGGTTCGCAAGTCTTTACATTTTAACTCATAACATCTTTGTTTTAACGACTTGACGTTGGAATTTTTTTCGAAATATTTTTTTATTTCTTAGTTTTTTGGAGCGTTCACAGTTCGGTACTTTGAAGGCGAGCTGGAGACTGTGAACTCCTTTGTAAGTTAGAATAAGCATAGAAGTAGAAATAAGTGGTTTTACGTTAAAATTATAGTGAGTATTGAAATTAATAAAAAATAGGTAATTGACGTACCTATATTGAAAAATAAAATCTTATAATTGAATTTATTCTCGTCAAAATTGTGGATATACCTAAGTCGACCATCAGACACGGAATAGAACCATTTATAAATGTGTCTATTTTACTTTGAATTACATTTTGAAGGGAATATTTTCTTTTTAATCTTGTCACCCTAGCCTTTTTGCTACAACGATAAGTCCCATTTTTTCAGTATTTTTTTCATATGGTCACTCTTTCACCACTTTCGTTAAGGGACGCGTTGTGTAGTTATTTGTAAGTCTTATATATTAATTGATAAAGAATAAAGTAAATAATAATCAAAAATGGAGTTTTATTTTTTTATAAACTACTCTTTACCTTTAAACTGTCAAACACCAAGCGGTCACCGGTGACCGCAACCTATTGTTCTATAATTGTGTCTATAATGACGGTACTCGACGAGTTAATAGATTTCATAGAATTAAACTATATCCAATAATATCAAAAACTATTATGCATCTTACACTAAAATATAATTATTGAATTTTTAATTCTTAAAAGAAATTATTTCTTATTAAAAAAAGAACGTCAACCCCCTCTTTTTTAATTCGATTAATTAATTATAACACAACATGCATAACATCACGCCCCCCATCCCCGAAGGGGTAGGCAGAGGTGCACACAGAAGTAACACCCACTTTTCACTATTTATGTTATGAGTCCCATGTAATAGGGGGCGAGCCTATTGCCATATACCGGGCACAATTCCAGACTCCGTGCTACTACTGTAAATTTTTTAAAACCCAGTAATACTTTGCCCGTCTCGGGAATCGAACCCGAGACCCCTTGCCCGGCAGTCGCACTTGCGACCACTCGGCCAACGAGGTAGGCAGTTAATTTACAACAACATAACATCACGCCTTTTATCCCCGAAGGGGTAGGCAGAGGTGTACATTATGTCACTGTACAATATAACACCCACTTTTCACTACTTATGTTATGAGTCCCATGTAATAGGGGGCGAGCCTATTGCCATATACCGGGCACATTTCCAGCCTCCGTGCTACTACTGAAAATTTTTTAAAACCCAGTAATACTTTGCCCGTCCCGGGAATCGAACCCGAGACCCCTTGCCCGGCAGTCGCACTTGCGACCACTCGTCCAACGAGGCAGGCAGTTAATTTATTATAATATAAATATAAAACCCAACTGTAACTAACACTTTTCTGATCTGACGCACAAGACAATATAGATTCAGGTCAAATGCGACGTGATGCGGTCTACGATGGACCACGTCGTCCCATAAGCAACCTATTCACTCGGGCCTTGAAGACTCCAAGGTTACAGTTTCCCCTTCAGGAAACACAGACTGGCAAAGAATTCCACTCCTTAGCAGTACGCACAAGGAAGCTTGATGCGAAGCGCTTCGTGCGTGTGGGTGGTACAGCTACCATGAATCGGTGACGCTTCGCCGATTTATAATCAAACCAGTCCGAGAAGAGGCTTTGCTCAGCAGTGGCCATTTATAGGCTGTTTGATGATGATCTTACAAATTTGTCGCGGAGAACCTAACGGGTAACCGGTGCTCCAGCTCGACGTGCAGGAGAAGGAACGAGGTGGTTTTTAGTCAGTAAGAGTCTGACACTCCCTCCCGCCTCACCCAGGCGGGACCAGTCATCCGATGATTTTCCCCCATTAAAAAAAAATACAGATATGTACCTACACAAGTTTAAAAAAAAAATATTGACATTGATTTCAATTAATATAATCATTTTAATTGAACTTTTGAGTGCCGTAATGCGCACCTCTGCCTACCCCTTCGGGGATACAAGGCGTGATGTTATGTCCGGTTTATTTCAGTTTCGGTTTCAGGAATCAAAGATTTTCGGGCAAGCATGTGCTTTAAACTGTCAAACATCGAGCGGTCAACGGTGACCGTAACCTATTGTTCTTAATTGTGTCTACCTCTATAATGACGGTACTCAACGCTAGCGGGACTGCCGCTTCAGAGCTTGCGAATATGCTCGGTTTTGTCTCAGGTTTCTTACCTAGGGAGTCGATTCTGTTTTAAGGCGCAGAATAGGTACTCGCCTTACGCCCTGCATACGTTAGCTCAGCTACAACTCAAGGTGGCGGTTGCGTGGCGGCGCGGTTGGCGCAGGTCCCAGGATGGACGAGGACGTGAATGACGCGGACCGGCTAGGGCTCTGCTTTATGCGATACTTCGCCACGAGTACAGCTGAAGGCATTTTGGCATTTTATAGGAAATGCTACTTTCACTACGCTCCCCCAAAGTTGTAATTAATAATTGTTATCAATTTCCTATTTTTGTCCTCAAATGCTGTATAAATCAAAGAATGATATCAGAAAATTTTATGATCAATGCTTACTTCTATAGTCGATGTCACGCAACTTTTTACCGACGACTTCTAACCTATCAGTGGGTGGGTAACCTATCAATACTAAGGGCTAAAACACATAGCCCCGTTGCGTCGCCGCAACGCTAAAATCGGCAGTTTGCGTTGCGGCGTCGTGAAAAAGGGCGTTTTTTTGTCGTTCGGTAGGGTAACCAGTTCGTCGTGATTTTTAATTGTGGATAGACGTGTCTCTGGTATTGAGGAGACAACGGAAGTTCTACTCGACGAACTTGTCCCTGACGATGTGCTCGAGACAGACAATGATTATCATCAACAGATTAGGTCGTGGGCAGCTATACCGCCGGAGTCACCTGTGTCTGATCTACCGTCCATCAATGAGCTCGTAACTATTGTTAAAACTTTGCCTTTAAATAAATCATCTGGTGAAGACAAAGTCTCAAATAAAATGATAATAGAAGCATGTAAATCCGCGGCTGATGCGATCCTAACTGTGTTCAACCGTTGTATCGCGGAAGGCGTATTTCCTCGTGTATGGCGACGTGGATTCATTCGCATAATCCCCAAGAATGGAAATAAACCCCCCGATGACCCTAAGTCATACCGGCCTATCACGCTTTTGCCATCTTTAGGGAAACTACTTGAGCGACTTATCGTTCCTCGTTTACTGCCAGGTGGACCAAAATTCCACAACAATCAATTTGGTTTCACTGTAGGAAAGTCTACTGTCGACGCGGCTCTTTCTGTCCGATCCATGGTAAATTCGTCTGAACACAAGTATATAGTAGGCATTTTTCTGGACATTTCCGGTGCCTTTGATAACGCATGGTGGCCAATGTTACTCTTAAAACTGAAAGGTCGTGGCTGTTTTAGTAACATATATAAATTAATATACACGTATTTCCTTCACGGTTCCGTTAAACTGAAGCTTGGTCATTGTTCTCGGTCGAAGTCTTTATCAATGGGATGTCCTCAGGGCTCGGTTATCGGTCCGTATTTATGGAATTTAGGATTTGATGATTTGCTCGCGATTCCCCTTCCTTGTGGCTGTACTTTGACTGGATATGCGGATGATGGCCTTTTGCTAGTACAGTCAAATACCCGCGCCGGACTGGAGAATTTGGCTAAAGACTGTCTCAGTAGGATCTCGCGATGGGGCGAACGAAATCGCTTAACTTTTGCACCCCATAAAACTTACCAGCTATTGCTTAAAGGAAATCTAAAGTCGTGGCCGTCTATTAAATTTAACAACGTTTCCGTAAAACGAAAGGAGTCGGTTTGCTATCTCGGTCTAGTTTTGGAAAAAAACTTTTCTTTCATTGAGCATATTAAGGCTATTAGTGAGAAAGCCAAAAAAAACTTCTATGCGCTGACGCGAATTTCAAAAGCCACCTGGGGTCTCTCTTTTCTTACGCTCAGGATCATATACGGAGCAACCTACCTGGGATGCGTGTGCTACGGGGCACCTGTCTGGGCTGATAGGGCCACAATAGGCGCGGTACGGCGAAAACTTCTTCAAGGCCAGCGTCTAGCCTTGATTTTCCTGTGTAAGGCTTATAGGACGGTTAGCACTGAAGCCCTACCTGTGCTCGCGGGCGTACTTCCGGTAGATCTTGAGGTGCAGCGACGTGCTGCTATGTACTACAGTGCGAGACCTAATTTGTCAGC